CATTTGGAGGGCTGTGTAGCCCTGACACTTCACCCTACCCCTCTATCTCAACAAGAACTGGCACCACCTACCCCTAGATGTGAACGCGCAAAACAGAGGGCTAAGGGCTAAGAGGTAGGGGTGAGGGGTGAAATGGGATTGGGCCTGAAAAAGAGGAGGAAATAGCATTGTTCTGGATGTTCTCATTTATGAGTTAAGGCTAGCTGGCTACTTTTATTAAAAGGAAAAATACATTTGTGAACATGTTAATATCTGTTTTTTTATTAAGCTAGCCACTTATTGAACATTAAACAGTTTATTTGTTATATTTTCAAACCACTGTTAGAAATGTAGGAACTGACAACAGTATATCATTTTTATTCTTGAACTTCTGGGATAATTTATCAAAAGTGTCTAAATATCGACTAGTCAAAAACTGCTCTTTGTAATCTAAACTGTTTTTCTTATGTGTGCTAATTACTGGTAGTAAAAGTGACTGATTTCCATGGAATTAACATGACAAAAACTTTACTATATAATGAGAGGCTCGTTTTCAGTATTAGATCCTCTTGACAAAATCTATTCAAACTATTAAATTACAGTAATGAAAGTAAATAAATGTACAGTTTCCCTTGATTAACAACACATTTACACAAAAACAGAAAAACAAAAGGAAGATAGAGAGAGAGAGTGAGAAAGAGAGTTGCATCTCTCTTGCTCATTGTTATGCAGTATACCTGGAAGCTGTTATGCAAAGCCACATGTTCTGTGCTGTTATTTGTTGGAAGAGATCATTAAGAGTTCATTAAATGCTTTTGCAACACTGCGCTTGTGCTTGAAGTTTCTATCTGTGTAGCAGGGCTGCGCAATATGTTAATCTTTATCGCAATATTGGACTTCACAATGCTGACACCGCAGAGGGCAGAAATATGCAAACGAGCCTTGGCTTAACGTGCAGCACTGCATAAAAGTTCGCGACCACCCTGTTATTTTATTTTGCGTCAAAATAGCCATTAAGTATAAGTAATGCATTTTTCAGTGTCAGAAAAAAGTCTCAAAAACTAAATATAATGTCAGAGACTCACTTTCAGTTCCTCAAAGAATCTGCAGACACGCCTCCAAAGTTCAGTCTTAGAAGCTGGTTGATCATTTTCTGAAGTAATCAAACACATTCAGTGATGTTGAGGTCTGGACTCTGGGGTGGTCAGTCCATCGTTCAGCTTCTTTGTTTGATGTGTCCGTCTCCTTTTCTCAGTGAGGTTCTTCTTGACAGCTACACATCCTTTCAGACCCACAGCGCTGAGTCGTCTTCTCACAGTGGAAGGATGGACAGAAACACCTGTGGATGTTTTCAGATCTGAAGCAGCTTGATTTTCTCCTCTCTCTCAGAGATGAAAGCTTTAAGTGCTGTTTATCTGATGGGGGGCAGTTTTGGTGTCTACCAGGTCTTCCAGGTGGTTGTTAGGAGGCCATTTTCTCCGTATTGTTTCAGTCATTTTGGATGACGATGAGGGAGAAATGTGTGAGGCAGCTAAGGTGAGTTTGGGTAGCTGTTTGTGTGAATGTTAGTGTCTCTTTGAAGGGAATATAATGTCAGTGACTCGTTTGGGAGCAGCTGTTGTTGGGAAGACAGAGTGTTTTCAAAATTGAAAGGATGGAAGAGTTAAAGTGGCAGAAGGTGCACAAAATTAAAGAGTGGACAAATTAAACAGTGATGGATTTGGTATACTTAGTGTGAGATTCTTACTTCATGCTCCCTGCTTTTCTCTGACACTGAAAAATGAATAATTTGTGCTGAATAACCATTTTGACTGGGAATTAAATAAATGAGAGGGTGGTCTCTGACTTTTTCACAGGACTGCAAACCAACAAAAGTAAATAATTTTGTTCAAGATAATGCAGGAAAATGTTTAACTGTGTTGTTTTACTGATTCACCAGTGCATTTTTATAAGAGATGCATCGATACCATTTTTTTCAGACCGAGTACGAGTACTTGCTGATACTGAGTCTAAAGCCTATACTGAGTATCGTACTTAGAATTACGTAGCTGTTAGTTTAAATGAGTGCAATGTTAAACCATTGAAATCCTGCTGATTTTAAATGACGCTATGCTACATTAATTGACTTGGATCGAGCAGCGCTGGAGTGGAGAAGAGCGGATTTTGTTCCACATCAGAAAAGCGCTTCTGTACAGCTGTAAGTAAAGTACATTTCATAGTTTTGATCCTCACCTGTTTCTTTCAACAACAGTCTCTGTAGCACAGCGACAGCAGGAGCCACATCTGAGGAGCTCACATTTCGAGTTTCACATCTGAAATGTTTAGACTGGCTGGTTGAGCTGTAGCTGAATGTTCTCTAAAGCCACACTCTTGAAGACGGCTCTTCAATGGTTCTTTAGTAAAGACAATGATTCCGTATAGAACCATGAACACTCAAGGAACAATTTACATGGTGATGTGGTTCTTCAGATTGAGGGAGAATGTGCTGTAGTTGGTGATATAGAACCTTTTTCAAAATGGATCTATAAAGCACCAAAAAGGTTTCTTCTATTGTTACGATGTCCAGCTTGTAACAATAGAGGAACTTTTTTTGGTGCTATATAGAACCGTCTACAGCACATTCTCCCTCAATCTGAAGAACCATTTCAGGATGCAAAGAATCCTTTAATTGTGCAAAGGTTTCTTTGAGTTTTCATGGTTCTATACGGAATCAGTTTCTTTATTAAAGAACCATTAAAGAACCAAGTCTGCAGACAGACTCTGTGCGATTTAAGAAATCTTGTTTTTTGCTGACTCAAACTGTATGTTTGAACAGACCAGCCATATTGGGAAAGTGGTTGAGATTGTGTTAAACCCTTGTGTGGTGTTGGTGTGTTTGTTACTCAGTGGTCTGCTGGACCCACCACATTATTGTTTTGTTAAATCAATACAGCCAAAACAATTTATGTAAAAATACCAGATGTTTAAAATGTCACAAGTGTCCAGCGTAGGGTTCTCCTTTAGCAGCTGTAGCCAGTCAGCAGCCTGTACATGTTGTCCACTCTCACACACACACACACACACACACACATATACACACACACACACACTAACAGCAGGCCATGTAGGAGGAGAACAGAGTGAAGGACACAGCACCTCCACACTTTTACTCCCCGCAGGTTCACCCAACACCACATGTGTAATATAAATGTGTGGGGGGTGAACAGAGTGAAGACACTGAAAATGGGTTATTTTATATGTTCTTCACAGAAAATGAGCAAAGACCAAGAATCTGAGGTTGAAATAATAATAAATTGTGTAATCTTTTCTCTCAGTAAACACTGAAAATGGGTCCCACAGACCTGAACACCACACAAAGGGTTAAAAATGAGCTAAAATCATGCTGCGAATTGCTGGTGGGAAATTTGCCAAATGCTATGTTTAAAGTGAGCAGCGGCGTCATTTAAAGTGATCAGCCACAAAGTCAGTAACACTTCTCTGGGTGAGCAGACCTTCGTTCATGCCAGCTTGAGTGGTTTGTTTATTAGTGCGGTAGCATTCATTAGGGTTACATCATGTGGTGTGTGGTGGTATCAGATGTTGGTGTTGGTGCATTTTTATGAGATCAACTATAAGTAAATAAGCATGGTATCAAGCCAGTACCCATACCAGTATCGGTGACGATGCACCTCTAGTTTTAATTAAACTGTAAGATGGGTAACACTTTATTTGGGGTGGTCCTTTGTAGATGATTAATGAACTCTTAACAGATTATCAGTAACACATCAACAACATATCAGTGAAGTAGCAGTAGTGAAGCATCTGATTACACTGAAGTAAATATGGTAACACTTTCTATGACTGTCATGTTTGTAAGCATCTATAAACACATTTATAACATCTTATAATGCATTCATAAGGCATTATAAACATGGTTATAAACATTTATAAAAATGAATTACACTGAATTACACTATAGCCATGTTTATTATACATTATGAACTGTTTATATATATATATATATATATATATATATATATATATATATATATATATATATATTATAGGTAGTGTTCACTGAGGCAGCACTAGTTTAAACTCTGACATTTGAAGCCTGTAATGTGCTTTACTGTGAATGTTTTAGTGTTTCAGTAAATCCTTCAGTAAATACTTCAACTTGAAGCCTCACTCTGAACACTGGAGGAGGCTTTAGTACAGTACGCTTCACTTTACTTAGAGTGGACAAATACGACTTATGAGCTCTTATAATTTGTTATGATCAGTACTTATAATGTATTATGTGAACAATTCATAATGCATAATAAGCATGGCTATAACGCGTAATGCATTTTTATAAATATTTATAGCCACGTTTATAAAGCCTTATAAATGCATTATAACATGTTATGAATGTGTTTATAGATGCTTACAAAGGTGACATTCATAGAAAGTGTTACCGTAAATATCTTGCAGATGTTCTGTTGATACATTACTGACATTAAGTAGATGTATTTTTAATATGTTACTTCCATTACGCAAAACCTAACCTTACCCAAAACCTAATCCTAACCCTCACCCTGGCCCTAATCCTAATCCTAACATTAACCTCAAACCAAAACCTAATCCTAACCCTCACCCTGGCCCTAATCCTAATCCTAACCCTCACCCTGGCCCTAATCCTAATCCTAACCCTCCTATGTTTTCGTTACTGAGAGTCTGTTGAGTGTTTGTTTCATCTAAAAGGACCTCCCAAAATAAAGCGTCACTGTAAGATGTACTGCAGTTGCAGTAATATTGCAGTGCGTTGGTTTGTACTCATGCTGCAGCTGCTGTGTCACTGCAGAACTGCTGAACTTCTCTCAGAGCACAAACGTTATGTAGTCTCAAAACACTTTTAGTGTTTGGGTTCTGCAGACAGGGTCCAGCAGAGGGAGCTTTTCAGAAGGCTGAAGATTCTCCCAGTCTCTGTCCAGTCAGCTCATGGTCTGGTCCAGTTAAAAGCCAGTTTATTTCCTCCTCAGGTTGGGGCAGGAAGTGCTGTGAGCTGTGAGGGTGTGAATGAGCTCCGTAAGTGCAAACAGGTCAGTCTGTCTGAGACCCCCCGTCACAAATACACCCGCCTCAGGTCCCCCGGGGAGGTGATGGTGTTACACTGCGGACACAGCTTCTTCGCTCCCTGCCAAATCATAGACATTACAAAAATACATTTGTGTGTTAGTGTCTAACTCACTGTTCGACATTAGACCTTAAAGTCAGCCTGATATCAAAACTGACCTTTTTGACCTCTTTAGTTTCTGTCCCTGGTCATAATAATCACTTATTAATCATTTAAAAGACTAAATTCTTGTAATCTTCAATCAAAATGTGATGACTTTTGCCCTGCCTCTGAAACATCTTCTGATTTGTGATGATGTCACCGTGCACCAGCAGGTGGAGCAAAATAAAATAACCAGTAATATCATGTTTTCATGTACATATCTGTTGACGCTGATACATAAATAATTTTTAAAATATTAAAAAATGTTTACATTGGGGCTGGAATCATGGTGCTTGGTATTACAGAGAAATGTTATATTTATTTGTAGAGGCTTAGAAATGCAGTGTTAGATTTTTATTTTTCATTTTTCCTGACGTTTTAGGGTTTCTGTACCAAAAACATATCGGAAGTCATTTTTACATGACCACCTTCCAACCTCTCTGTATGCCTTTGAATGAAACAGGCTGGTTTTGTTGCTGAACCTTGACACTGGGGTGTCTCAGTACCTTCAGTCAGGGAACATAACTGTACCAAATTCCACTGAAATGATATGTTCTAAGCTGTACTGACTCCACACACCCCGTCTCGTCTCCAGGCTTTTATTTTACTGTTCTGTTTTAAAACATTCGGTTATGAAAAGGTACAAATACGAACTTTTCACCTGGAAAAACTTATTTAAGGTTCACAATCAGACCTTAAAACCACTGTTGGAGCTTTGAGGGAACATTTACATTGTTTGTACCTTGATGAACGAGAAAATGTACCTGAACAGAACCTTTATTTCTAACCGTGCACCTGATTCAACTCATTTTTTAATTGTCAGGTTTAGTGGGTGTGTTTGAGGTGTGTTTTAGAGAACTTCCAAACTGTGCTGCCCAACAGCCCTCCAGGAGTGAAGCTGGGGACCACCTGGTTTACACCATATAAAAAACCCAAAATAGGTCCCAAACATTTATAGAAATAACTCTTTTTAACACAATTACAGTACTGTACAAATGTATTCGGCACTTCAAGCAAATCGTTTAAAACCATGTAACTGTGCAATAAATGCATTTCTACCAGTAAAAACACTAAAGAGCATTGAAGTAAATACAAATAGACATTAATGCAGTAAAAAGTAACAGGAGTTTCTTGCTTATGTAAAGATGTAGTTGGTATCTTTTGGGCTAGGATGAAAAGTTTGGTTCCAGATTTCTCCTGGATGCCTGAAGCCATCACATGGATTTGTCAAATTTCATCAGCAGCTCCTGATTTAATTTAATGAAGGATCTTAACTAGGTATTGGATGGTAACTGTAAATGCTGCATAAATAAACAAATAAATATATAATACATAAACAGAACTACATAAAAATCACTCATTTTTGTTTTAGTATTATTTTAATAATTCTAATATTAGCATTTTTTTTAGAGCGAATAATCACTCACTGTCCAAATAAACAGCTTTTTACATCTAACTTCAGGCTTTCAGGTCCTTCAACCTTTCTTGCACAGTATTGAATATGAGAACAGGGCACTGGTCGACTGTGTCCTTCGTTAAACAGCTTCTACCTCAGAGCTGATAACTGATCAAGTGTGTTTCTCACCAGTGTGCGGAGCCAGCACTCCTCACAGTGCACATGCCAGCACTGGATGGACGTCAGCGGTATCGTATACGAGTCCTGCAAACACAAAAGTTCCAAAACACATTCAGAGTGTTAGAATGTCACCATGTATTAATAATGGAGTTATAGAAACACTGAAGATTAGGGAGAGGACCGTGCTGGACCCCCTCCTCCTTCCAGTCTAATGCCCTATAAATGACCATCTCTGCTTTCTGTTTCCATTGACAGTCCTCAGCACCCCCCTGTTCCTCAGTCTTACGTCAGTCCCGCCACAGTTAGAGGGGGTCTGGCCTTCTAGCTCCAAGCAGAAGCCATACAGCTCAACTCCAGTCCAAGTTGTCAGAGTTCTCTCCCCTCCGTAAATCAGTCTCCCCTCACGCTGCCACCTTATGCTCGGTCTGAACTCACGAATTCCTGTTATGGTCATTAGTGTCACTGGTGCTTTCGCAAGATCATCCCAAACATCAAATTCAGATGTTTTCCCTATGAACTGACTCCATTTCAGGGGTCAAACAAAAGCAATAACTTTTGGTTATTTTGTATATAATTTAATCAAAAATAGCATTAAATTTAGAGTGACACCTCCGTCACTCTTCAGTCTACAGTATATACAGTTCTGGGCATCTTTCCACTGTGAGAAGACAACTCAGCGCTGTGGGTCTGAAAGGATGTGTAGCTGATCAAGAAGAACCTCACTGAGAAAAGGAGACGGACACATCAAACAAAGAATCTGAACGATGGACTGACCACCCCAGAGTCCAGACCTCAACATCACTGAATGGGTTTGATTACTTCAGAAAATGATCAACCAGCTTCTAAGACTGAACTTTGGAGGTGTGTCTGCAGATTCTTTGAGGAACTGAAAGTGAGTCTCTTGAAAAGAGCGGAAGCTGGAATAAAGGGAAAGCATGACACAGTAAATACTTACAAATCTGATATTATAGTTATAAGCTTTCTTTCTCCTTTTTTCCCTGAAAAATGAACTTTAATAGCTGTTTAAATAAAGAATGGTCTTCTTTTGTGCAGTAATTTCTATCAATCTATAAATACGATTCTGATTACCTTGTGGAAGCTGAAAAATGTAGTGAATGCACTGCTATAAACACAGTGAAAGCAGGCCTACCATGCAGATGAGACATTTGATTCGATCTCCTCGAGTCAGCTGCTTCTCTAGATCTCGAATCCGTGTCTTCAGAGCTTCCAGGGTGTTGAGTGAGTCATCAGACACCCTAAAACACACACAAACACAGACAGCTGTGTGTTAGCTGTGAGGTGCACTAATCCTGTACTGGAGGGCGTTGTGCTTTTCCTGCTCCAGAACACGCAAAAGCTGAGGAGTTGAATTAAATGTGCACAAATACTGAAATGTACTATTCTGAGACTGATTCAGCTCAGCTAATTATCACGCATTTTATTTGCTGAATTAGTTGAACGTCTGAATAGAGGAGATACTAAACTAAATATCAGTTAGCTGGAGGGAATACTGGACTATTGCTAAAGAAGTAGAGACAAAAACTGCATATATGGAATCTGGGCCTGTTAGCTACAATTAGCTGCTATACACTTACTATTACATTTAAGTGAATAGCAGGGGGTGCAAAGCTAATTTCCCATTAGTCTGAAACTTTAAACCTCTGTTAAGAGGAGAGAGGAGTGCAGATACCCCAGAGACTTTTCTCAGTAAAGGTTTGCATCTTCCTCTAAATGTAGGGAAAATAAAATGAAAATAGCAAACAGCTAATTTTCTGTCCATTTGAAATGCCATCTTAGCCACACAACACACTTTTGTGTGTGTTTGTGGGTCATTCTACAGAAACGTCCATTTTTGTGTCCCAGGTGTTTACAGATATATTACACTTAAAAAACACATTAGGGTTACAATTTATTTATATTGTAAAATAAAACAATGTTATTTTAACAATTACATCTTCTTGAGCCTCAATTTAGCAATATTGATTTATAAATCAATTATCTAGAATTCAAAGCACCACAGAAGAGCTCGTCCTCACAGTCATGTGTGAAGGCTGAGGCCATGTTTTGAAGAAAAAAAACATGTTTTTTCTGCAATATTAACTACAATGATCTATGAAATATATGAATTAAATACCAAAGAAAACAAAGGCCAAATAAATATTCTAAAATATATAATGAAAGTTCCCCAGGAGTCGTGTCACTGGTGTTACCGCGTAACAAAAAATCTCTTATTTTGAAATAAAAGTCACACTGATGACATCACCGGACTTCCTTTTACCTGTTTTCTGAGTATCTATGAAGAAAAGCACATGGTGAGTCCACTGTGTCTTTCAGTGATCAGAGATTTTCTCATTTAGCTCATGATTTCATATGAAGCTTTTAGCTGAAGTCACTGGTGTGACCGACTTTATTCTGAGGAAATTGTTAAAAAGTAAAATACAAATGGATTAAATTACATATTTTAGTGGATATTCCATGATTGACGACATGTGGTTTGATGCTCTGTAGCAGCCATTAAAAATGTCTCTGGTGTTACCTTTATAAGGTGTAACCCCAATGAGGATCGGTAACACCAGTGACTCCTATGGAGAGACAGAAAAGTGGACGTTTCTGTAGAATGACCCTTTTTTATAGTGCTAAAGTAATGAAAAAGCACTCCAGTGTGTCCTAAACATCCAGAAAACCTGTCTTCAGGTTTTAGGAGGGCTAGCACAGGTATAAACACTGTGTCTGTGTAATTAGGCTAAGGTAGCAGGCTAACAGCTAACAGCTAGCAAGAGACTCTCATTCATCTCAGGCTCTCCTCGTGCGCTCAAGTGTTTCCACTCTCCTGCCATTAAACAGTGAGGGAACATGGCCGCATCCACGTCGGCCATTTAATCACCTCACAGCAAGCGAACCATGACAGGTGGGGAAGTTAAGCGATCCATCTCACACTGCTCACGTCACAGCAGCCGAGGGGAAGGATAATCAATGTATTAGGGGCTTTTTTTGCCCGCCAGGTGAACATATTGACTCGGTTAGCCTGAATATGATAGTATATTGGTTACTAGTGGCTAAGAAAAACATCTATTAGCAAAAGCTTAGAATATAATACCGAAATCAGCCATTTTTCTGCATATCACAGAATAACCTGCTACGATTCCCAGGCTATTGATTGTAGCATAAACAAGTTGAGTCAAGTTGTAACTTTAAACTGAAGCTAAGTTTCAACTTAAGTTGAATGGTGAGTAGATGGCACACAAGCAGGAGGTTTTACAGGCATTTACATTGACCACAGGCCACTTTATCAAGTCCACCTCCTTGTATTTGCACTCATTGTCCTTTTCTCAGCTCCACATACTATACAGGAGCACTTTGTAGCTCTACAGTTACAGACTGTAGTCCATCTGTTTCTCTGATACTTTGTTAGCCTGTTCTTCAGTGGTCAGGACCCCCTTAGACCCCCACAGAGCAGGTACTATTTGGGTGGTGGGTCATTCTCAGCACTGCAGTAACACTGACGTGGTGGTGGTGTGTTAGTGTGTGTTGTGCTGGTCTGAGTGGATCAGACACAGCAGTGCTGCTGGAGGTTTTAAACACCTCAGTGTCGCTGCAGGACTGAGAATAGTCCACCAACCAAAAATATCCAGCCAACAGCGTCCTGTGGGCAGCGTCCTGTGACCACTGATGAAGGACTAGAGGATGACAAACACAAACACTGCAGCAGCAGATGAGCTATCAGCTCTGACTTTACATCTACAAGGTGGACTGACAAGGTAGGAGTGTCTAATAGAGTGGACAGTGAGTGGACACAGTGTTTAAAAACTCCAGCAGCACTGCTGTGTCTGATCCACTCAGACCAGCACAACACACACTAACACAGCACCACCACATCAGTGTTACTGCAGTGCTGAGAATGATCCAGCACCCAAATAAAACCTGCTCTGTGAGGGTCCATGGGGGTCCTGACCACTGAAGAACAGGGTAAAAGGGGGCTAACAAAGTATGCAGAGAAACAGATGGACTACAGTCTGTAACTGTAGAACTACAAAGTGCACCTATACAGTAAGTGGAGCTGATAAAATGGACAATGAGTGTAGAAACAGGGAGGTGGACTTAATGAAGTGGCTGGTCAGTGTATACACGTAGCTTACAGTTGAATAAATCATTCTACAGCTAACATAGACACTAAGTATGAAATTTAACAGCAACAGTGACAGCATCCAGTCACAATTACCACAAATAATTATCATCATTTATAACTGAGGAGATTAGGTATAAGATAATCCACTCACATAAGGAAGGAGAAAGTCAAAGCCTTTTGCATACTGTTCTGAAAAATGAATAATTTGCACTTAACAGCTGTTTTCACTGGAAATTAATTTAATAAAGGCTGGTCTCTGACTTCTGCACAGTGCTGTATGTGTGGGTGTGTTAAGTCTACTTACATCTCTAGCTCGCAGCTCCTGCAGGGTGGAGAGGCGCTGGCACTGCCATCAGCTTTACTGTGATCTTCATTGCTTGTAGATGGAGCTTCTACACATAGACAAGACTGTGGTCACTACAGAATTACACACTGCTATGTTTTGTAAATACAGTATTTTAGTGGTCAACCCACATGGACAAATGAGAGCTGATATTTAGAGTGCAAAGTGACCGATGACTGATCTAACAGGCCAGAATGGATTATTCTTATGAATAGGCCATTTTGAGAACCATGTTATATTACAGTTACTAAGCACTGTGATCTGCTACATTTCTGTGGTTCAGCTTTTTAACTAAGACAACAATAAAAACAAATATTGAGGTAAATGCAAAGTTGAAAGTGACTTCAGTTCCACTGACTGCCACTGGAGGCACTACAGCACACAATCATCTATTTTAGCCCTAAGAGATAGGTCACACTTTATTTGGATGGTCCCCTATAGATGCTCTACAGCTACTTAAATCATTAACACACTTTCTAGTGATCCTCAGTTGATTATCAACAACATTAAGGTTAGGGTTAGGAGTAGATGTAGGTTTTGCTTTGAGGTTAAGGTTAGGGTTAAGTTTAGGGATAGATTTAATGAAATCTTCCATACTGAACTTCAAGTTCAGTTGAATTTAATGGATATTTAGTTGAATGTTATTGCAAGGCAGACTGGGAATTTACAGAGCATCTACAGTGGACCATCTATGTAGAATTCAACTTCAAGTTCAGTGGCATTTAATGACTATTCAGTTGAATGTTACTTAAATATATACTGAACATTTACAAAGAATCTACAGTGGATCATCCAAATAAAGTGCTACCAAGAGTTATAGCGTGCAAAACTACTGCTGACATAATGATAAAACTATGTTTTGACCGCATAGTGAGGTACATAAAGAATTATACCTATGTTTTATATACATTTGACGCATTTGAGTCTGCACTTCTGACTTTTTCTGTCAAAAATGTAAACAAAAAATACAATTCTGGCAAAAATGTTTTTTCTTTCTGCAAAACAAGACTGTACACACAGCAGTAACCCTTCATCAAATTCAGATCATAATGTCTAAGTTAAATCATAACTCATATCTTCTTTTCTATTTATTAACACAAATGTGGTTGGTATAGATTCAAAGCTTAGAATCTGCACTTTTCACACGTTTCCACTCTGTACAATGAGGGACGAGTCAGAACTGATTAATATAAAAATATCAACACTGAACTTTGCATCTACCTCAATATTTGTTTTCATTGCTTTCTAGTATCTAAATAATGACCTCATATATTAGTGTACTAGCTGATATATTGGGCTGCCACTATGCTAAATCACACTTTACTGCACAAAAACGCCTCATATAGGCTAAAGGGAAATCCACACAGGCCCAAATGAATGAAATTCTCACCTGCAGTTGACCACTTGCAATGTTCTGGAGACAACCTGCTGGCAGCGTCCACACTGAGGAAACAGATTGAGGAGGAAAAACACAAGAAATTAGAAAGAAAGCAGCGTCTTCTACAGGCACTTTAATCCTGTTTTCAATATTGTATGTCTTATTTCGTTAAAAAATTCGTAAAAATTTAAAATTAAAAACACATTTTGTAGGCCCAGATGCCCAGTTCTGACCACAGACAGTGGTTTCCACAAAAGATATCAAATGAGAGAAGCTGAGAAAAGAGCGAGTGAGTCAGCATTTTTCTATCATATTGAAATTGTTACATCCTTCATAGTCGTAGATAAACTCTCAGATAAGGTGTCTGTCAATCGTAGACAGTCTGAATGGACTCATACTTCACTGCCCTGTCCTCTGCGTCTCGTGAGCTGGGGATCACGTCTGTCTCTGAGTATCTGAAAACACAAGCTGAGGAAAAACAGCCAGACTGTTCACTGGATTCACCATCACTGAGGCTCTACTGAGGAAAAAGGAACTCCATCCTCAAATCAATGTAGCGAGAAAAGGCTTTCAGACTTTCAGACGAGCAAAAACTAAAGCCAGTTTCAGAAACGAAGCCTGTGTGAAGGATACTGTGCTTTGCCGTAGTTCAGTGTGTCGTCTCCGTCCACGTCCAGGTCTGCGTCACTGTCCTGATTCTCCTTCACCGTGCTGCTGACCAAACCTGAGAGAGAGAAACACCATTCAAACACATCCACGTTTAGTCAAAACACAACATATACACAATTAACTCCTCAGACTGCGGGATTATTATTCAGTAACTCTTAAGACTTAATATTCAGTAACGAGTGTTCAGTAAAATTCTGAATAATGTACAGTAGATATTGAATAATTCATAGTAGATCCTGAATAATCGGGGCAGCCATGGGCTGGAAGTTAGGGAACCAGCCCTGCAACCGGAAGGTCGCCGGTTCGATCCCATGAGCCGACTGTGTGTGACTGAGGTGCCCTTGATCAAGGCACCTAACCCCCAACTGCTCCCCGGGCACTGTGGATAGGGCTGCCCACCGCTCTGGGCAAGTGTGCTCACTGCTTCCTAGTGTGTGTGTGTTCACTAGTGCGTATGTGGTGTTTCACTGCACAGATGGGTTAAATGCAGAGGTGAAATTTCCCCATTGTGGGACTAATAAGGGTCACTTAACTTATAATTTCCAGTAGATATTGAATAATTTATAGTAGATACTGAATGATTTACAGTAGATATTGAATAATTTATAGTAGATATTGAATAGTTTATAGCAGTTCAGTACATATTATGGAACTAATGTTTAAGTTATATAGTTATAGGGATTCAAATGTAGACTCACATACAGACTGTGTGTGTATGTGTGTGTGTGTGTGTGTACCTCTGAAGCCCCTCAGGATGGACACCATGTGCATTCTTTTCTGTTCACTCCACTCGTACTCGTCTCCCCCTCCTCCAACAGATCCATTCTCCACAACACACACACTGTCTCTCTGCCGAAACACACACACACACACACACACACACACACACACACACACACACACACACAATGTCTTTATATGTAAATATCTATATGTAATACTATATATTAATAATAATAATATGTCCCAAGTTATATATATTTATATATATACACACATACACACATATAGGTACCTGTATAAAAATATAACTTCACTTATATTTAACAGCATATATTCATATTTATATTTAACAGTAAAGAAAATATGACAATAAATGCTAATTATTGTTTCTCAGTCATGTCTAAATACATGTTTAAATAAATATACGTTTAGTAAAACGGTATCCACCTCAATATTCAATGGAGAACAGATTTACAAACAAATTAGCACAGAAAAAAACATAAAAAATAGTTTTGTGCAAATACATTTCATTCAACAACTTTTGTTGTGCTGTCCTAGTTTCACTCTTCACTATGATGTGTACTTGTTTTTACTTAGAAAATCAACAAAACATAATGTGTCCAGGGGCGCCCAAACTTTTCACAGTAGTGAAATACAGAGAGCAAAAACAATATACCAAGCTATTTTTAATTTTATTTTAAAGACCTATTATTAAAACTACATGCATTACATTTTGGCCGAAAAATTAATGTATATTTTATTGAATATTTATATTTATTGAAAGGCACTTTCAGATGAATGCACCACAGCGCATCATTACACCCCTGCTGCCTGTGACCCTGAGTCTGTTAACAATGTTATCAATACATGCTAATAAAACTACCTGTGAAGACAGGAGCAGCGCAGTTCAAGCCAAAGTTGAGCTACTTAACAATGCATACGTATTGGTGATAAAGATAATTACATGTAATTATCATTAAATCCATTGTGTGATTAATGCCCAACTGTATGAAGTTTTAGGGCAATAAAATAGTTAATGTATGAATGAACTAACATGTTAAATGTAGTTTTCTCTAAGAAAAAAAGCAGAACACCTCCTGTCAGCGCATGTTTGGGTGGTGTTAGTTTGTGTACCTGCTCTTCCTCTGCTTTCCTCCTCTTCAGCTTCCCCATACGGGCTATTCAGAAACAAACAAAAACAAGACATCAGTGACAACAACAACAGAAATAACAAACCAAACCTCTTCTAATAAATATGAGTTTATGTGCAGCTTTGTTCAGCTTATCTAAACTACAGGGACTGTAAAAGTGTGATGGGAAACAGGTCCGTGTAGCTGATGGAGCAAAAACTGAACAGGAAAATAAGACCGAAACTGATAAAACAGACGGCGAGATTGTGAACTGAAACAGCGGCGGGGAAATGGAAAGGGAAAAAGACAGGACTGAATTATTAACCAATCACAATCATCCTGGCCTTGTTCAAACCTTAGATCCATGCAGTCAACTCTATATATAACTATATATTCTATATACATATACCTACATTATCTGCACCGATCAGGCATAACATTATGACCACCTCCTTGTTTCTACGCTCATTGTCCATTTTATCAGCTCCACTTACTATATAGGTGCACTTTGTAGTTCTACAGTTACAGACTGTAGTCCATCTGTTTCTCTGATACTTTGTTAGCCCCCTTTTACCCTGTTCTTCAGTGGTCAGGACCCCCATGGACCCTCACAGAGCAGGTACTATTCGGGTGGTGGATGATTCTCAACACTGCAGTAACACTGACGTGGTGGTGGTGTGTTAGTGTGTGTTGCGCTGGTCTGAGTGGATCAGACACAGCAGTGCTGCTGGAGTTTTTAAACACCTCAGTGTCTCTGCTGGACTGAGAATAGTCCACCAACCAAAAATATCCAGCCAACAGCGTCCTGTGGGCAGCGTCCTGTGACCACTGATGAAAGACTAGAGGATGACCAACACAAACTGTGCAGCAGCAGATGAGCTATCGTAGGAACCAGACGTCCACCTCTACAAGCTCCCTCACAGAAAGTTATTATACGAAATGTTCATGAATGCACTGCCTGATGTCTGAGACACTGTTTTATGATAGTTTTAGAAGGATCTGGCCCAAACCAAAGGTGGAGGTGTACCTGCAGGGTGTTGTGAGGTAAAATAGTCCCAAAGAAAACTTATTGTTCAGATTTTCCACTATTTTCCCATCATCATCATTCCATATAAAGCTCAGAAGACATGTCTAAGTTCACTGGTGGTTTTGGATAGTAAATAAAATGTCTATATTTGTGTTGTTGTCATGGCGACCCTGGTTCCTATCACCACCACTGTAAAGAAATCTGAGTTCCCCTTTAAGTGTTAATAGTGAAAGGGATTGTTAATCTTTAGGATGGGCGGCTATAGCACCACTATGTATGTGAGTGTGTACCATAATCACATAGCTGACCAATTCATTGCAAAGGGTCATTAATTAGAGAGATGACGATCAATAAGCTGTGACGAAAGACTCATTTCCTCATAAAGTGGGAAGCTGTTTCAATCTTAATAACTGTGACTAATCGCCCCTGAGAGTGATTCTTTAACATAACAGAGCTTAGGTTCCTTAGATTAGAGCTCTGATTAATGTTTTATAGCGATGTTACTGGCAAAAATACATTTACTGCTCCGATATATAGTTTTAAACAATGTTTTGGTTGCCTAGAACTGCACTCTGCCTTCTTTCAAGACGTCTTCACTTGACAAGACACATTTTAGCAGTGGGCAGCAGAGACGTCACAAAGGAGGAGACCGGTCACTAGTTGGAAAATGAACGAAAAAGCTTGTAGCAGTCAGTATTGTGTCCCGCCCTTCAATAAATAGAGCCAATAGGCTTGCTGGTTACATACAAACCAAAGTTACGTCTAAACAGCTGGACTTCTTGCTCCTTTTTTGGAACGCGTCACAGACATCAATTTCAGAATGAGCGTGTGTTTACAAAACCGACGGAACTGATAAGATAAAACATTATATATCTTGTCTTTGTACTGTTTTTGTTTATATACAGGTCAAAGTGGATTTATTAATCACTGGTTTCTGTATTAATTTGCATTTCAAATACTGTCCCAGCTTTCTTGGGTTTGTATTTGCAGACATCCAACAGCTCTTTCCAAACTTATGATGAATGAAGTGATATGTCAGCATTTTCCTGTAGTTAGCTAATCACCTACTGTTGATACACACAAGTTAGAAGTTAGTGAAGTTAGCTGTTTAAGCGCTGCTGCACACTGTGCCAGAGACTTGAGTCATAGCAGAAGAAGTCTCTAAAGCCACTTTTCCACCACATGGTATGACTCGACTCGACTCTGCTCGCTTTTGGTATCAGCTACTGCAGATATAGGACCCTTTCAATGTAGCTGGTCATCATAGTGATGCCGCGAGAAACCGCCGTGATGTTACGGAGACAGATTTTGTTCAGAAGAGACTGATGGCAGCGAGACAAAAGACTGCGGAGAAAAACGGGAAAGTTTAGGAAAAACTACATCAGCATTCAGACAGCAAGACGATTCTGGGTCCTCAAGAAGGTGACGCAAGACTTACATTAGCATATCGCTGTTGTCAGAAGAAAACCTTGTATCTCCATTTTTGATGTTTTTTCAGTTTTTGACATGATTTGAAATCACCTGTTACCCTTTACGTTGTATGTAAATTTCATGATGAATGGACTAAAAGAAACGGCCCAAAATGACTTGGAAAAAAGTCTGGTTCCATTGACTTACATTAAAAGTAAAGTAGGTTTTTTCCTTCTCCTGTAAAGTTACCATTTTGGAGATACGAGGTTTTCTTCTGACAACAGCGATATGTGCTTAGCAGTTTTCTCGGACTAATCAGGAGTCTTTAGGATTTTTACATCACATTTTGGTATTGGCTCACCTTGCTCGGAGTCTTGACGGAGGTGGTACCAAAAATAGTACCCGGTACCAGATTTGCTCAGTGGAAAACCAAAAAAGGCGAGTAGAGTCAAGTTGAGTCATTCAGTTGGTGAAACGGTCTTAAAGTTACACCCAGAATGTTATGACTGACTTAGCTTAGCTACAAAATGTTGTTGCAAAAGTTGGTGCAACTAGCCCCCAGTCTTGCATGAGTGGATATAACTTTGCTATAAGGTCTTTATGTGTAGTCGTCAATCTTACTAATAACATAAAATTCACTAAAATCTGTGTTAAAAATGGTGTGCAATGAAAAAAAGTGCTTTGAATTTACATGATTCAAATGCATCAGTCAGCTGAACATCAATCAACACAATTCTTCACGAAAAAAGTAAAGACAGCAATCAGCTCATTCAGAAACATATATATATAAAGTGTTATTATCAAATACATTTGAAAATGTATGAAAAATGGCCCAAGAATGTATTTTTGCTTAATGTACTTTAGTGTTTCCAATATATTGTTTCATTCCAAATACAGTTTGTAATGAAACAATATATGTACACATATAAAAAGTTGTGTTGCTGACCTGTTTGTAAATATGTATATCATGTAAATGTAAAGCACAAGTGTTTTCAGTACAATGACCAGACAAAACAAGACACCGTTAATATTAGCGCACTGTGTACATCTTACAGTGTTAGTGCTTAGTGTTTAACTGGAACACAGAAATATGGAGTGAAGAAAAGACAGATTTCAGTGCAGTTTAAACTGTTAGTGCTGTTATTTTAACATAATTCACTTCCATATTACATATAAAAGCCAAGCAACAGAACTGATGAGAGGAATGGACAGTGGTTATTCGTACCGCTCAGTCTTGTCTGTCTGTTGGCTCTCACTCGCAGAAACGTCTGTGAAGAAAAACACAGACAGACAAAACCAGTGAAACTGCACAGTAACTTCAGCCCTGCAATGTTTGAAAGGCACTCAGCGCTACATGGAGAGGTTTCTGATAAAGTGGCCAGGAGGTGTTTCTGAGGGACAGAGAATTCAGCTAATATGCTCTCTGTAGTGCTGTCCACCACAATCCACCAGCAGATGGCAGCACTTCACTGGGTACTGTGTTAACCCCTTCAATTATAAAGTAATGAAAGGTGGGGCCACAGATTAACTGTACTACATTAGTTATACATTAGTTTAGTCTTAATAGAATGGATATAATAGAATTAATGAATAATTCAAACTAGTTACTGAAAACATCATAACAGAAGGGTGATCATTTAGAGCACATACTGAATAATTTGTAGTAGATTCTGATTACTGCATAATTCATTGTAGTTACTGGATAATTTATAGCAGATATTGAAAAATCTATAGATACTGAATAATTAACAGTAATTACTGAATAATTTACAGTAGATACTAAAAAATCTATAATAGATACTGAATAATTAATAGTACTGAATAATTTACAGTAGATACTGAAAAATCTATAATATATACTGAATAATTAACAGTAGTTATTGAATAATTTAGAGCAGTATAATAATGTATAATAGATATTGAATAATTGACAGTAGTTACTGAATAATTTACAGAGATACTGAAAATCTATAATAGATACAGAATAATTAATAGTAGTTACTGAATAATTAACAGTAGATCCTAAAAATCTATAAAATATACTGAATAATTAATAGTAGATACTGAATAATTTACAGTAGACTCTAAAAAATCTATAACAGATACTGGAAAAATAACAGTAGTTATTGGATAATTTATAGCAGATACTGAAAAATCTATAATATGTACTGAATAATTAACGATATTTACTAAATAATTTATAGCAGATCCTGAAAAATCTATAATAGATACTGAATAATTCATAGTAGTTATGGAATAATTCACAGTCATAACTGAACAAATTATTTTTGCTTTTTTAAACCAACTCTTTTCCAACAATAACATGATTTCTAAATATTGTCACTTTTAATTTGACTTGTAAAGAATATAATCTAGCTTTTTATTTTGTGTCACAAACTACACACAGATACTCAGACACACAAATTATATTATATCTCACACTTCAGAGGCTTTTACTGTTACTCTGATGAAACAAAATAATAATATGTGTTTCTAAAGTGAATTATGTTCTGAATGTGTGCGTCCAGCAGTAAAGGCAGTATAGAGCTTCTTTTATACAGTGATAGAAAACACAGTAAAGCACACAATGCTACAAACAGCGTGGACACACACGCTCACCTGCTGCTGTGGATCTGTGGGTAGTATGTTAGGTAAGATTGAGGTTAACCCTTGTGTGGTGTTGATGTGTTTGTTACTCAGTGGTCTGCTGGACCCATCACATTATTGTTTTTAAATCAATACAGTCATAACAATTTATGTAAAAATACCAGATGTTTAAAATATCACAAGTGTCCAGCGTAGGGTTCTCCTTTAGCAGCTGTAGCCAGTCAGCAGCCTGTCCAAGTTGTCCACCCTCACACACACACACACACATATACAAACACACACACACACAGACACACACACACTAACAGCAGGCCATGTAGGAGGAGAACAGAGTGAAGGACACAGCACCTCCACACTTTTACTCCCCGCAGGTTCACCCAACACCACATGTGTAGTATAAATGTGTGAGGGGTGAACAGAGTGAAGCACTGAAAATGGGTTATTTTATAAGTTCTTCACAGAAAATGAGCAAAGACCAAGAATCTGAGGTTGAAATAATAATAAATCACATCATTTTTTCTTTTGGTAAAAACTGAAAATGGGTCCCACGGACCTGAACACCACACAGGGGTTAAAATGTGCAGCCAGGAAAGAGTTCAGCCTGATGAAGCCACTAACGCTGCACACAGTTCCCTCACACAGTTTCATTCTCAAATCTCACTCTACAAAAGTGAGGAAAGGTGTCTCACCTGGTACCTGTCTGAGTGGACGGCCTCGTCAGCAGGACGGGGTGAGGAGCCCCCCTCTCGCTTAATGTGGGCAGAGAAGAGGGGCTGGTGGGAAGTGAGGGAACCAGAATCAGAAGCCTTCATAAGCAAAATACAATAGAGTTTCACATGCAAAGAAATTTGTATTTAAGCATAATAATAATAATAATAATAATAATAATAATAATAATAATAATTATTATTATTATTAGACTGCAGGATGCTTTATATCTAGGGAAATGTATTTTTTACTTGTAAAAGTAAGACTTGCCTTTTATAAATGTAATCAATAAATCAATGTAAACATGTAATGATAAGAATTTCAACATGACTGGTTGTCTTTGAATTATTATGTTAATAATTGCTTTACATTGCAACAAATGGATCCTCTCAATAATATAAATTCTCACTAGTGAGAACTGAAAAAATAAAAGCTGAATTTTAATGTTACAATCAAACTTCAGTTTTTGTTCTAATTTGTTTTTTTGTACCAATTACATTTCTAAAATAAAGGAATTTTAAATAAAAGAAGAAATCCATTCATTTTTTAATTTTCCTCTATTATTAAATGGTTAAGATGTAAACAAAATCAGAGTGGTTTGGTGTGAATCGCTCTGTTCTAGAGAAACTTACAGAGTCAGAACTGTTCACAGTGGTGGTGATAGGAACCAGACGTCCACCTCTAAAAGCTCCCTCACAGAAAGTTACTACATGAAATGGTTATGAATTCACTGCCTGATGTCTGAGACACTGTTTTATGGTTTTATGGAGACAAAGTTTTGGCCTAAAATGTATTTTTAAAATACATGCATAGTGGAGGGATACGTGCAGGGCGCTGTGAGGCAAAATAGTCCCCAAAGAAAATGAGTTTTTTCAGATTTCACTGTTTTACCATCATCAACATTCTACACAAAAACTCATGTAGGTTCACTGGTGGTTCTGGATAGTAAATAAAATGTCTATATTTGTGTTGTAGTCATGGCGACCCCTGGTTCCTATCACCACCACTGTAAAGACATCTGAGTCACATTCACATCAGACCTTGTTTACATCTCAGTCACTTATGCAGAATTTTTAAAAAATGGGTGGAGTTCTCCTTTAATAGCTAAAACTGATTTCCATAGAAAAGAAAGTAAGAGAGTGAATTTATTCACAGGTGGCTTTTTTATGACATCACATACACTGAAATAGTGAAATTAGTGAGGTGAGGCTAAAATTTTTTGAGTCAAATGAATCTGTACAGACACTTTTGCCTCAGCTGCTGCCTGACCGATTAGCCTCTGAGGTAATAATGAGAAAGGCTGAGGTGAGCAAACGCTCATGCAGCTCTTACCTTCAGAAGCCCAGTGGAGAGACACTCCTTCTGTGACAGACTCGGACTGTAAGAGAGGAAGAGTTCACACAGGATTCAGGCTGAGCTGAAACACTGCATCGTTACTCAGTGTAAATAAACGTGCTTTAAAGAGCTGCGGTCAGTTCGAACGCTGAGGAAAGACTGAACTATGGCCCACTCAGGAAAATTTTCTTTACATTTATAGAAATAGTGGAGCAACAGCACTCAGTCATTTGAACCCAATTACCAGGTGCAAGGACAACATTTGTGGGCATTTTTTGTGGGTCATAATTCTTTTTTCCCACCAATTCAACAGGCTGTTTCTGTTACTGTGTGATTGATAGACTGATATACAGTGCCAATCAAAGGTGTGGACAAACCACATAGAACTTATTTATTTATTTATTTATTTATTTCCGACATTTTAGAATAATAATGAAGACATCAAAACTATGAAACAGTTTATATGGAGTGACTCCAGTGAGAAATGTTCCTCTTCTACCACAAAGTCAAGTCAAGTCAAAGTTTATTTATAAAGCGCTTTTTACAACAGGTGTTGTCACAAAGCAGCTTTACAGAAAAATCCGGGTCCGAGCCCCCATGAGCGTCGCCAATGGCGACAGTGGAAAGGAAAAACTCCCTAAGAGGAAGAAACCTTGACAGGAACCAAGACTCAAAGGGGAACCCATCCTCCTCTGGTCGACACCGGATAGCAAACAGCATTAGAATAAAATATTAGAATACAAAACAGGAAAAACAGGTGGAGCGATGGTTAATTAGATAGTTTGAGTTTATGCAGCAGCAGCTTCATCATCATCTAACATAGGGTTACATAGGCCCCGCCCTCCCTCGTCACAGATTGGCTAAAATGCATTAACATTCCACTGATTGATTTTTAATGGCAAAAACATAGTAATTATGATATGATTATGATTGTAGTTCCAACTTTACATTGGACTAAAATCCTACATGAAAACTGCCACTGAAAAAATAGTTTAAAATGATTGTTAGTACTGTTAGTATTTATTAGTATTTATTAGTATTTATTAGTGATAATAATATTTTTTATTTAGACATAAATGCATATGCAGGCATCAGTTTGAATATTCATGTTTGTTTTAGAAACAATGCTTAAGCAAAAGCCTTTAGTTCCAGATGTGTTTAAGAAAAGCGAAAAACACAATCAAGAACAGTCAAAGAACCCTTTATATGATTAATGGGGTTCTTTGCATCATGAAAGTGTGATTAATGGAGAATGTGCTTTAGATTGTTCTATACAGAACCTTTTTGAAAAGGGCTCTATATAGCACCAAAAAGTGTTCTGCTATTGTTACAAGCTTAAAATATAACAACAGAAGAACGCTTTCCAAAAAGGTTCCATATAGAACCATATACAGCAGATTCTCCATCAACCTGAAGAACGCTTTCATGATGCAAAGAACCCTTTAATCATGCAAGGAATATAGAACATAGAACCGGGTTCTTTACTAAAGAACTCTTTGTTAACAGTGTACAGAACTCATGGTTCTAAATATAATTATTGCCTTTACTAAAGAATGCTTAAAGAACCATCTTTTTTTAAGAGTGTATAAATATAATCATTGCTTTTACTAAAGAACCCTTGAAGAATCTTTTTAAGTGTGTACTTTTTATATTTATGTATTGGGATTAGCGGATATGTAAAAGTTCTCATATCAGTTCTAGTTGTTTAATACAAAAAAGCAAGAACAATTTGGTTCTGCATCAGACAGAACCTGTAAAGTTGGAAAATATGAGAGAAATGATCATAGAGCATGTAAAACAGTGGTGCACGCCTTTAATCATGCAAAGCCTATAGCATATAGAACCGTATTCTTTACTAAAGAACTATTTTTTAGGAGTTTATAGAACTCATGGTTCTAAATATAATCATGGCCTTTACTAAAGAACCCTTGAAGAACCATTTTTTACAAGTGTATAGAACTCATGGTTCTAGGTATAATCATTGCCTTTACTAAAGAACCCTTGAAGAACCATCTTTTTTAAGAGTGTATAGAACTCATGGTTCTAAGTATAATCATCGCCTTTACTAAAGAACCCTTGAAGAACCATCTTTTTTAAGAGTGTATAGAACTCATGCTTCTAAGTATAATCATCACCTTTACTAAAGAACCCTTGAAGAACCATCTTTTTTAAGAGTGTATAGAACTCATGCTTGTAAGTATGATCATCACCTTTACTAAAGAACCCTTGAAGAACCATCTTTTTTTAAGAGTGTATAGAACTCATGGTTCTAAAAATAATCACTGCCTTTACTAAAGAACCCTTGAAGAACCATTTTTTACAAGTGTATAGAACTCATGGTAATAAATATAATCACTGCCTTTACTAAAGAACCCTTGAAGAACCATCTTTTATAAGAGTGTATAAATATAATCATTGCCTTTACTAAAGAACCCTTGAAGAACCATCTTTTTAAGTGTGTACATTTTATATTTATGTATTGGGATTAGCGGATATGTAAAAGTTCCCATATCAGTACCAGGTGTTTCATACAAAAATGCAAGAACAATTCGGTTCTGCATCAGACAGAACCTGTAAAGTTGGGAAATATGAGAGAAATGATCATAGAGCATGTAAAACAGTGGCGCATGCAGGCAGAGCCGCCCCCGTCCTGCCTTCCCGTACAGCTGAAACACACCCTTGGGCCGAATACAATTTGACACAATTACTGTCCGCGTTTCTGTCACTAAGCAGATTAGAGCTGTAATGTCTTTATTGAACGAATCCTTCATGTGGAGCGAAAGCCTCGCCCCTCGCCCCCTCCCTGCGTACTGCTGATGGTGGGACGGTGAGATTTGGCGTTATTAAACATCGCTGTGATTTTCACCATCGTCGCCCTGAGCGTGAGGCTGTGAAATATGTGGTGAGGAATGTGAGCATGTGTAGTCGGAGCGCTGTGGGTGATGGAGGAGCGCCTGAGGCTGCTGATGAATATGCCATCATGACCTGGAAGCATTTAATGTGCCGGAGGAGGGACAGGGCTAATGAGCGAGGGGGGAAAGGGTGAGTGTTCTGCTGTGTTAGCGTTGGTTAAGCACACAGCCTGAGAGCCACCGGCTCAACTGAACTAAACACCTTTGTGCTCTATTGTCTCCATTCGATTGGGTTTCATTTAAATCAGCCACACTGTAATTTAGGGCTGCGACAAATGACTGTTTTGATGGTTGAATAATCTCGATTATTGAAAGGAATAATCGATTGTTCGGATTATGAATCGCTGAATTACAAATAACTCTTATGTAGCTATCAGCATTTAAATTTGGCTTGAGGTTGTTGCATTATGCATTAGCAATGAAGACAATAAAGATGAATATTTAAAAATGTACTGTTTTAATGAAATTTTCTGCTAATACAAAAGATAAATAAAACAATATCGTCGATGTCCAACGCAAAACATCTATCTTTATTTTTTGCGATTTTTACTTTTATGCATCATTTGAGCTCAGCAGCCGTCCTTTACATTGTGTGAAAATTTCATTATGATTGGACCAATAGAAATGCTCCAAAATTGCTAAGAATAAAAACTTCTTCCATTGACTTACATTGAAAGTAAAGAACGTTTTTGCCCTCTCCTGTAAAGTTACTATTTTGGAGATACTTGTTTTTCGTTGGACACTAAATCAGTTCTCCAGTAATCACACCTACAGTCCAGCAGTGATGCTGACCGCCCCAAAATAGCACTGCCACTGATGCGCCTGGCTGAACCCATCACAGCATCTATGTATGTATATCCATGAACATCTCCAGCCATAATCATGAGTTCTGTTCAAATTCAGCAAACGGTGGCGAACATTTGTGGCAAACTTGTTCTCTATGAACAGTTAAATTTGAGTGATTTGGTGTAAACATTGCATTTTAATGGTAACCCTTCGTCCAGCTGCCTTGTATGTTCACAGAGAACTACTTCCTGAAACTGTTTGCGAGTGGAGGCAAATGTTAGTGGAGAACTCAAGGTAAACAGAAAACTGCTTGCAACTGTTTGCAAACATTCTCCTATGTTAGCTGAACTTGGCTTCAACGTTAAGATAACGATGCAGTGTTTAAAACTGTAAACGTTATCTGGAAAGTGAACAGGGTCACTTTACAAACAGCACAAGTGACTTTTTTCCTGAGTTTAGCGTGAAATGCTCCCACGCTTTTTGTTCTCGATGCTGCCACAGTGCTTTTGTTAACTCTCCAGTAAGCGGTGATGTGACACGAGTGATGATGTCACCAGCTAATCAACCATTACCTTAGATGCCAACTAATTTGGTTGGTGATTTTATTTGACTAAGTTGATTAATCGTTGCACCCCTATTGTATTTATGGCAGAACATGGCATTTTTACAGCACAAATATCTCCATGTTTACAACAGAGTTGCACTGGCCACCCCACAGTCCAGACCTCATCGTCATCGAATGTGTTTGGATTACTTGCATAGCGAGAAGCAGAAAATGGAAAACCAACTTCTAAGACTGAACTTTGGAGGTGTGGAAATTTCAAAAACTGAAAGCGAGTCTCTTGAAAAGAACTGAATCTGTAATAAAGGTAAAGAGTGACTCACTGAATACTGGAAAAATATATTTACTGTAGTTGTTTTCTGTAAAATATACATTTTCTGCTTTTTTAATGATACTGAAAAACCTTGTGGCTGTTTTGACTGAAATTTTTAAAAATGAAAGGACTTTTTCTGTGGACTTTTGCACAGTACTGTCAATGCATGTGGATACATGTCAGATAAAAGTGTGTGTATATCTGGGCGCATGTACCTCAGGTGTAGCTGCGTGAGTCGCTCAATCTCCGTCTCCATGTGCTCCTGCAGCTCCCCCGGCCGCAGAACAGCCTGACAGACAGGACACACGGGAGTCTGGGCATCAAACACACACTTCACCTTACCTACAGCGCAGAAGAGAGACAGACAGGAGAAGAGAAAAAAAGAAGTGAAAACAAGATCAGACAAAGAAAAGAGCTGCTGGTCCCCTATAAGCCACCTGCAGTTCAGTTCCAACACTAATCTAAGCCTCCTGCCTCTGATATTTAAAAGCTCTTGAAGGTCTTGATAAGTAGGATCAGATGTGGTAGAGAAAACTCTGATCTAAGCTCTGCCAGGACAGCCACTTTCAAGAAGGTCTGGAGAAATCTGCTTTGTAATTACATTAGAATAGTTTAGATACTTTTCTTCTGTGAAAAGTCTATGGAAAGTCATCTATGCCCTATTGTAGGCCAACATAATTCTGTCTCGGCTTGATCGCAGCTCTATAAAACTGTGTCCAAGTTCAACTCTAACCCAACCAGATTCTGTCTGAACACAGTCGTAACACAGAAAAGTTCAGTCTGAACTGAATCCAACGCTATGCCGACAAAATTCTGTGTGAATTTGACTATAATCTGAAAATTCTGTGTGAGTCTGATGGCAGTCGTACAAAATTACCTGGGTATCTAAATGCAGGCCTACAAAATTCTGTCTAAATCTGACAGCAGCCCAACCAGATTCTGTCTGAATTTGATAATAGTCTGACAAAATGCTTTCTGAATTTACTGTAGACCCCACAAAACTCTTTTTGAATTCGACTGTAGCCCCACAAAATTTTGTGAGTCGCTAGCACAAAATTCTGTCTTAATCCCACTGCAGCCTGACAAGATTCTGTCCAAACCTAAATGTAGCCCCACAAAATTCTGTCTGATCCCGACTGTAGCCCCACAAAATTCTGTCTGACCCTGACTGTAGCCCAACAAAATTCTGTCTGATCCAAAATGCAGCCCAACAAAATTCTGTCTGATCCTGAATGCAGCCCCACAAAATTCTGTCTGATCCCGACTGTAGCCCAACAAAATTCTGTCTGATCCCGACTGTAGCCCAACAAAATTCTGTCTGATCCCAAATGCAGCCCACAAAATTCTGTCTGATCCTGACTGCAGCCCAACAAAATTCTGTCTGATCCCAAATGCAGCCCACAAAATTCTGTCTGATCCCGAATGGCAGCCCACAAAATTCTGTCTAAATGTGACTGCAGCCCAACAAAATTCTGTCTGATCCCAACTGCAGCCCAACAAAATTCTGTCTGATCCCGACTGCAGCCCAACAAAATTCTGCCTGCTCCTGACTGCAGCTGAGAAATTTCTGTCCAAATCGGACCGTAGCCTGACAGAATTCAGTCACAAAAAGGCAGAATTTTGTGTGCTCCAGTGGGGTTCAAACAGAATTTTGTTGGGCTACAAATATTTTATTCTTTCACTACATCAACACTTGACATGCACTAAACCCTTTTAGGAGTGATTTTTTGGGTGTGATTGTTTTCTATTGTTTCTATTGTTAACGATGAGCTGGAATCATGGATAGAATCCCAGTCTCATCAGTATGCCTGGTGGGGTTAAACAGCAGCACAGAGGCGTTCAGTAGTCTGACCCCATTTCAATTTCCCCGTTCCTGAGAATGCTGAAGTGTGAAAATGCATCGCCACAGTGTCCCGCTCTGACTGCCACAGGGTGAATCACCTACATGCGTCTGCTGCTGACAGATTGGGGAAATCTATTAAGCAAATAAAACCTGTCAACAGCGTGGCAGGCAGCAGCATGACGGAGGAAACAGAGGGCAGCAGCTCCGGTCGCGTTTTCCCTCACTGAACCAATCACCTGCTAACAACAGGCCAAATGAAAGCAAATAGATGTGAATAAAACATGGATCTACATGCGAGAGCTACCTGGTCTCGTGCCCTTGAGGAAGCCCGGCCTGTCAGCGCTCTTGTCTGTCTCACATGCGCTTCGTCCTAAATGAATTCCCTGACATGCATGGACTGCTCTTTCCTCTGCCTTCTGCAAAGCCAGCATCAGTAAACAGCAAAATCTCTCACCTGAAATTGAATTTATAAGCAAATTACTTCTTTAGATAACGTCTCCAAGTAATCGAACGATAAGAGGAATTCGATTTGATGCTGGAACAAGAGTCCTTTTGTTGGTGCCCGTGCAGCTGTATGGGACGTTTCCCTTTTACCTTCACTGTATGAGATACTCTTATCTATAAAACAGATGAAAGTACAGCCTGGCTTGTAATACTGTTTTCGCTATACAGCATAGGCTGAGAACAAAACCATTCCATTTTTCTCATTTTCCATTTTTTTTCCCCATACTTTGAAAGAACCAGCTGCCCCTTACATTGTTTCAGAACTTCCTGAAGAATGGGACCAAGAGAAATGACCCAAAATTGACCCAAATTTTTAAAATAAAATATTTTTACATTGACTTTCATTAGTTAAGAACCTCCTGTAAAGTTACCACTTTGGACATACAAGCTTTTTCTGACAGTGACGATATGTAACAGTGTCTGAAACCACATCAGCAAGTCTATTAGTGTGGTTTGGGGCAACTGTGTGATGATTTAAGCATGCAGTTCGCACTGGTGAGGCGTAAGCGTCCATTAGCTACATGAGCCTTGTAGCTCCAGTATTAAAGAAGAAAATGTCAAGCATGTCTTGGCTGATCGACTATATTTGAGGTAAAGGGGACAAAACTAGTGTGGTAGTCAAGACTACTACTGTTGAGTCCAAGATAGAGCCAAGACTAGGGCCCAATCCCATTTCACCCCTTGTCTCTACCACATAGCCCTACCCATCCATTTTGCGTGTTCACGTCTAGGGGTAGGGTGTCCCGATTTTTGTTCAGATAGAGGGGTAGGGCGAAGTGTTAGGGCTACATGGCCCCCCAAATGGAGGTTTTTCAGAGACTCCAAACAGAGAGTTATGAGAAAAAAGAAAAACTGGCAAGATGGAGAACAAGAGACCAAAGAAACCCAGAAATGTGAGGATTTTCTCAGTTAAAAAATTACAATATCTTACTTTAATGCCGTTTCAATATATTATAGTCCTTTTCTTCATAACAAGCATAAGAAATCGCTAGTAGTTTCCTGATGTCTCAGTAGCTAGCTCGCTGAATTTCCTGTTCCGCCTTAAATGGTTCAGCAGTTACATTCTGGCACCTCAGGCATCAGAACTGCTGCACCATTTAAGGTGGAACGGGAAAATTTGAAGAAGAAGCTGGTGAATAGCTTCATATCACTGATGAATTAGAGGTGGGCAATATTAAATAATCGCCCCCCCCCCTTTGAAGGCATATGATGCCCTAAATGTAACTAAAGCCCAGCAGTGAGGAGCTGAACTTTACCCTCCTCTGCTGTCACTGCAGACCGGCAGGGTCGCCTACAGAGCAGCGCCAGTAGCTGTTAATGAAGTAATGCTCTTTTTTATTTTGTAGAGGAAGATTTTAACCACTACATCTTGTAACTCAGTTCCAAGGGGCAACGAGACCCTCGAAAACAAGGGGTTCATTCTGAGTTCACGCCTCCACACAGCCTGTGATAAATAATATGTTCAAAAATAACAGGGGTAACTGGTGGTGTACTGATCTGACGTGGAGTTTAGTACAGTAGTATTCAGACTGAGATGTAGCAGAACGCAACCACCCTGCAAGTTAAAACCGTGTGTGTCCCCATGCTAGCCTGCAGGAGCGAGCAAGAGAGAGTGAGCAAGAGAGAGTGAGCAAAGGAGAGTGAGAGAGAGGCGTAATGGCAGGACTAGAGCAGCACTTTACATACTTTAATTGATGGAATGCATTTAGAGATTCAACCAGACATTTCAACATCCAGTCGAGAGAACCAACCGATCCAAAAACAACCCTACAGTGACTGGGGTCAGATTGAGATTCCAATCCCAGTTTGGGCAGCAAAGCTACTATTTTTGGCTGCCTTGGGAAAACTCTTAAACCAGTCTCAAACATGATAAGACCTTCTTGATAAGAGATCCGGCATGTGTTTCGGCTCGTAACGTGTCAGCAGCACTTGACTTCATCGTACACACCAGGCTAAAATGCAGTCACATATGATCCTTTGCTTATTGAAACATCAGAGAGACGTTAGAGGAGCTCCAAGCAGGCATCATGCTCTCAGTCACACTCCAGCGCCCTGGAACGACAGGCCTGATCTTCAGGCACAACTTAAAGGTCCGTCTCTTTTTCTGTGCAACGGGATGACTGCACATGCCAGCGTCCATATGACAGCTGCCATCGTCACGGCGACAGACGGATTCTGAGACGCTCGAAAGCTGACCTTTCCAGAATGCCACATCTCGTCCGGATGCTCCATCACATTACAACAATGTCAGGAGCCAGAAAGAACAATACTCCAGGCTCGAGCCAAAAAAGGACAACACTCCAGGCTCATATTTCCCTGAGATACACGGAGGGCGGAGGGCAGTTACATCACCCAGGGCCAAGCGGAGGACTTGATTGACAGGAGCGGGCTCGGTTGCTTTGGGTGTTTTATCACAATGTCATAACGGAAAATGGTGATGGAGCGATGCAGCAGCTAAAAAAGCAAAGGCCTGCATTTAGCTTCGATTTTGACCCCCTCATGTTCTAAGGAGGGATGTGTATTTAGGAAAATCGTGATATCTGAGTATCCGTAAGGGTTAATGAAGGGATAAACATGGGAAAAACCAGGGAAAAAAGGACTTGTACTTGTAAAGGCTGGTACTAAAGGGCTGTGACAGCACTGGTGTGGCACAAAAGATTAGCAGCACCAACATGTGCCAACATTTTAGTTTGTCAGAGATACATATTAATGCTGTTACTGGATTCAAATCCAAATAAGGGCTGGATTCACGAAAGTGTCTTACGAAAGAAAATCTTCTTAAACGTGTTTTTTTCTTAACTTCATTCTAAAGAAAAAAGTAACGAAAAAATGTTATTCTTCAAATAACTTCTTAAGAATTCTTTTTTTTTCTTTTCTTGACTATTTTCTCAAGAAACAAAAACAAAAATATGCCATATTTAAGTGTGTTGTCTGCAGAGGTTAGATAGATAGATAGATAGATAGATAGATAGATAGATAGACAGACAGACAGATA